TGGTGATATAATGGATTTTGTTTCCGGGGAAGGCGATGAGACTAGTTGTTTTGCTAAATTTGCATATTTAGAGGCACTAAACTCTATTAGAGAAAGAATGGCTGCTGCAACTTGTAAAATTTGTTATGCCAGGGATCATTCGACCGGTATGTGCCCCGAATATCGAGATAATCTGAGTGTCCTACTCGATAATTATGGAGATTTTTCACCATGGTCTCAAACGTGGCATAACCCTAATCCAAACGGGTATGATCAAGGATGGTGGGATAACTCCAGTTATAATTATACGACAGGGCCAATGAATTTTCAGCAGCCAATGAATTTTCAGCAATATGAGTCTCAAGAACCGTCATCCATGTCAGGTATGTCTCTTGAAGAAATAGTTGAATTAATAGCTATTAACACATATCAAATTCAACAGGAGGTACATCAACTTCAGCAGGAGACACAAAAGATGAGTGAAGAGATGAAAGAAGGAAGGCGTGAATGGGCATCTAAAATGAGCAAATTGATTTCTCCAGTTTATGAAGAATTGCCTTCACCGACTATTATTGACCATGAGGAAGATGAGAGTGCAATTATTCTGACAAATAACATGGTACTGCAAGAGTTTCAAGAAGAAGAATCTAAAGATGTAGTTGAAAAGAAAGTTGAAGAGCAAGAATTGAGACCCCAACATCAAATGGTTCAAGTGAATGAATCCAGTGAACAATCTCCAAATGCGGTGACATCTTCTCCATTCCTTGATCAATATTTTCCTGACTCTTATTCTTTAATTCCTGTTAGTGAGATTGATTTTATTATACCAGACGATTTTGAATTTCATGCCAGGAATAAATTAAGAGTTATGATGGCAAAATATCTCGAACCAATAAGTGCTCTTGATGGAGGAGTGAGTGAAGATTTAAGATCATCACTTGTTTGTTTGGTGCCATCTACTAGCCCATGGAAGACCGTAACTCGTGTGCTCAAGAATTACTCTATTTACGAGGGCTATCAGGATTACATAGAAGATGAAGCACTGAAGCGAGTTACACGATTTTATCCTCCATGAATAAATATGGCAATGTCTAGCCAAAAACATTAAAGAAAGGCGCTGCTTGGGAGGCAACCCAAGGCTCTTTATTTTAGTTTTCTTATGCTTTTTGGAATTTTTGTTAAGTGTTAGTTGCATTTAGTGATTTGTTGCTTTTGTGGTAGGAAGCTGACAGTTAGACGTGCCCTCGCCAGGTGGTCACGCCTGAGGGAAAGAAATTCTCGTTCAGGATCTGCGGACTCTATAGCAATTAGACGTGCCCACACCAGGTGGTCACGCCTGAGGGAAAGAAATTCTCGTTCAGGATCTGCGGACTCTATAGCAGTTGAGCGTGCCCACGCCTAAGACAGGAGTCCCTCTAAAAAAAAATTTTAAAAATTTTATTATTACAAAAAAAAAATTCAGCAATTTCCAATTGGGACGATTTACATTAGCGTAAGTTTTTACAAAAAAAAAAAAAAAACAATTCCCCTTTTCTCTTTTCTTTTTCTTCTTTTTCTTTTTCTTTCTTTCTTTCTTTGTTTTTTCTTTCTTTCTTTTTCTTTTCTTTCTTTCCTTTCTTTCCCTTTTCTTCCTCTTCTTCCCCGCTTCCTTCTTCTTCTTCTTTTCTTTTCTTCTTCGACCGAGACCAGCGCACCGCCAGCTCGCCTCCACTCCAGCAGCTCCATCGCCATCTCCAGCCTGCGGCAGCTGCTGACTAGCCGCCATCCACCAGCCGCCTGACTGAATTGGGTAGTCCCTGTGCTTATTGACGTATCTTTGCTAGTTTCCAGTTGTTGATAATAGTTTCTGATTGTTGGTTTTGGAGTGAAACTGTTGCTTTGTTGACCATATTTGGGCTTGGGCGCCCATGTTTGCTTTTGCATTTGACTATTGAGTTGGGGAACACCAGTGACTATGGATTTGCATTTGTTGGTTGCTATCTTTGTTGGATATTCTGTCTTTTGTTGTTTGGGGTGATAATTGGCGACAATGGTGAGTGGCGCCACTTACAAGCACAGGTTCACAACGTAGAAGAGCGAATGACGAACATCACCCGTCAAGTGGCAAGGATGTCTCAGAACTCGGCTCCCCTCCATTGTTCCCTCCTATCCCTTAGCTGTTCAACAGGGAAATTTCATTGTTCTCTTCGCTTTCATTACTTTATTACCTCCATTGAGGACAATGTAGGATTTAGGTGTGGGGGGAGCAGTTATGGTTTTTGGTGTTTTCGTTCATTTTTTTTTCTTCTTTTTAGTGATTAGCTCGTAAGTGCATGCCAAGGTTTGATGTTGGATAATTGCCTCTATTTCTACTATTGCCAATTTTAATAATAAAAGGATATCAAGTTAATGTGGTTGAATCCAAAAATATCTCTTTGGTGAATATCGATGATTGTTTTACTCTTATAATTTTTGGTTAACATTTCTAGGCATAGGCAATGATTATTGGCATTTTCATGTGAATTGGTCCGGTTATTAACTTTAGTTCTCCATGTTTGAAAATGAGGCTAGCTGATACTAGTTTTCTTTTTGGTTATTGTGTTATATTGAGTTTTTGTGATTTTTAACTATAAATAAACTTGAATGTACTCCGCTATTAGTTACTACTGAGTAACCGGGGATCTGCACCTAAAAGTGTCGATTCTCGCGTCAAAAAGTAGTAATTGCTATGAGTACGTGGTCACGTGACGATAGAAGCTGAGTAACCGGGCTCCTTCATCTGGCCAATGTTGGAGTTCGCGTCAAAAGGCTCAAATGGCCAGCGACTAAGTCTTTTGTTACTATTGAAGAAAGAAGATTCAAAAAAAAAAAAGAAAAAAAAAGAAAGAGAGAAAAGTAGAAAAAAAATGTGTGAAAAAAAAGTGAAGGTTGTGTTAGTGTGTAATAAAAGTCAGCTTGCCGAATTATGGATTTAATGTTGAGATTTTGGTTAATAGTTGGACCATTTGCTGATAAATGTTATGCGTCATTCCTTTTTCTTAGATTAGTTAACCTGAAATTGGAGGAGTTTGTGGTTTAGAAGCTAACCGGAGTGATGTTTCTTGGATCTTGACCATTGATGCTTGATTATTATTTTTCTTGGTATCTTGGCAATTTGGTAGATAGAGCAATGACCATTATCAAATTTTGGTGTCTGTATACTTTCCCCATGCTTGAGGGCAAGCATGATTCAGGTGTGGGGGGAATTGATAGGGTATAATTTGTTAGTTATTTTATTATTAATTTCCCCTTTCATCCCTGATAAATATTGTGTTAATTGCAGATATCTACTTATATTTTGTTTGTGGCCTTTATTTCAGGGATAGAACGGAAAACTACCAAACATGAGGGATTTCCTGGAGAAAATTGAGTCTTCAAGCGAGTCACAGGCCAGGGCCACAGTGCTGAAAAGAACTGGACTCCCATCCCTTTATTCTTGTTGACCAAGAGGATTACAACCGGAGACTTTGGCAGAGAGAACTTGAAGGCTTGGGCCTTTGACTTCGGTGGGGACCACGAGGAAAGGAAAAGGGCTTTGGTCCTTTGGTTCTTAAAGAAAAAGCAACGTACAAAGCCTAAGGAAACTAAGAAGAAATGGGGCAGCTTGCGGCCAATTGGTGGGGACCACTGGATATCTTTCCTTTGGCTTTAAATAGGGAGCTAACGTACAGAAGACGGACGGCCAGCTTTTAGTTTCCTTGCTTTAGTTCAATTTTTAGTTTTTTTCTTCCTTTTTCCTGGGACTGGCCTCTGACACACGCCAGGTGTTTGACAATATTCCCCAACGGGGAAAACATCCTTCATTCCTTACTTTTTAGTACAAAACAATGCCTTCGCAATTTATTAACTCGTGTGGTGATTTAATTATGCGGCGTGGCTAAGTCTTCCATCTAGTCAAGGGTCAACTCGACGGCGCAGTCCCGAAAATCTGTGAGATCTAATTAGTTTTCACGTGTTCCTTTATCTATTAATATTTGCATGTTGTCTGATTTAATTTTCATGGGATTATTTTATTAATTGGATGTTCAGGGCCCGATGTTCAGTGTGATATATTAATCTCGTGCCAATTTAGTCAATTAAATCCGTAATTGTTTGATTGATTAATATTAGTGGCAACTGGTGTGTTTAAACGTTAGGGGAACGTACGATCTAATTTAAATAACCCTCGTAGCGTGTTATTGATTAGGGCTAGATTTTTCTAGTTATTAATGCAATTGGAAAATTAATTCCTATGGTCGTACCTAGGAGTATTTGCTGATTAGGGGTAATGAACGGTCGTACCTTGGTTATCAATAATTTAAGGAAAAATTGGTCGTCGGACTATAACTAGCCTATTAATAAATTAAGTGAACCTCTGCTGCATCAATGATCAGATAAATGGACTGTGCTTGAGTAGTTGTATCCTTGGCTAGAATTTATTTATTCCTAATTAAATTTCTGCTATATTTGTGCTAGTGATTTATTCATTTTTAATTAAATTGTCTGATTTTTTTAGTTTCATTCCGGTAAAATCCCCCCTTATCAAACAAAAGAGACAAAATATCTCCCCCCTGAGGAGACTTCTACTATTTTTAATTCTGGTATATCGGATTAAGCAAACTCTTCGGGAAAAAAGTAACCCACAGTCCCTGCTCCCACCTAGGGATTAATTATTGACTGCTTAGTGGTAGCTAGGTTCTATATTTATTATTATTATTGCACAGGTTGACGACCTGTCAATTTTTGGCGCCGTTGCCGGGGACTGGCGTTATTATTTGTTTCTTTTTAGATTCAATTTTTGTCCTAATTTTCTGGTTTTCTTCTAGTGTATGCCTCGATCTTCTCGCACAGGTGATTTGGTTTTTGACCCTGAGGTAGAGAAGACCGCGCGTAGAACGAGAAAGGAAACCAGACAGCTCAGAGAAGAGCACTGTAGTGCTATATCTCAAAAACCCGAGTCAGAAGTTGAACCAACAGATTCGTTTGGTAACACTTCGAGTGACTCTGACCAGGAGGAGTTCACCATGGCTAATGCACAAACAATAAGGGAGTTGGCTGCTCCTGATTTAACTCAACAGCCTTTGTGCATTACTTTCCCCGCTTTAAATGACAACATTCCATTTGAACTAAAATCTGGTCTGATTCAGCTTTTACCTTCTTTTCATGGTTTACCAGGTGAAGAGCCGTATAAGCATCTGTAGGAGTTTGATGTCGTGTGCAATAGTATGAAACCCCCGGGAATCACAGAAGAGCAGATAAAAATGAGGGCATTCCCCTTCTCCTTGAAAGATTCTGCGAAGGACTGGCTGTACTACCTGTCACCAGGTAGCATCACCACGTGGGGCCAATTGAAGAAAAAATTTCTGGATAAATATTTTCCTGCGTCCAGGGCTGCAAGTCTAAGGTAGGAAATTTGTGGGATCAAACAGCATCCAGGGGAATCACTTTACGAGTATTGGGAACGATATAAGAACTTGTTGCGCAGGTGGCCCCAACACCAAATAAGTGAGCAGTTGATCATACAATATTTTTATGAGGGGCTCATTTTAGAGACAGGAGCATCATTGATGCTGCAAGTGGAGGGGCACTGGTGAACAAAACCCCTCAGGAAGCACGGGAGTTAATAGAAGGGATGGCAGAGAATTCACAGCAATTCAGTACAAGAGAGGATGTCCCAATACGTAGGGTGAATGAGGTAGAGACACCCTTTATACAGCAGCAGTTAAATGAGTTGACTGCGTTTGTTAGGCAACAGGCTGTGAGAAATGCATCACAAGCCAGGGTATGCGGGATTTGCACTGGTATAGGTCACTCTGCAGACATGTGCCCAATGATTCAGGAAGAAACTGCAGAACAGGTGAACATGGCTGACCACGCGCCCGCGCCAAGGAAGCAGTACGACCCTGACTCAAGCACCTACAACCCCGGGTGGAGAGATCATCCCAACCTCAGTTATGGTGGGAATAGGCAACCCAACTTCACGCCGAACAGGCAGTCTAACTTTGTGCCAAATAAGCCACCAGGGTACCAGCAGCAATACCAACCCCGACCACCTCCGCCCCCTCAATCTGGTTCATCTACGGAGGAGATGCTGAAACAAATGATGACAACCATGGCGCAAAATCAGCAAAGGACGGAGGCAGCTATTATGCAAAATCAGCAAAAGACGGACTCCTAAATGCAGGACATAAAGAATCAGATAGGTCAAATGCCCACCAGAATCAACCGTTTGGAGTCCCAGAACCAAGGGAAGCTGCCATCTCAACCGGAGTTGAATCCGAAGAACGTGAGCGCAATGACCCTAAGGAGTGGGAAAGAAATTCAGGGGCCTGAACCTGTGATTCCCAAGGATAAGGATGAAGAGAAGATCGAAAATGAGCTCGAAAGGGAGGACAGCAATGGTGCAGATCAAAAGGTACTTCCTGACCCAATAATTACAGTTAAAACTAACCCGCCTCCTTTTCCTAGCAGGTTGGAAAAATCAAAGAAACAGGATAAGGAGAAGGAGAAGGAGATTTTGGAGGTTTTTCGCAAGGTTGAGATAAATATCCCCCTCTTAGACGCCATCAAACAAGTACCAAAATATGCCAAGTTCCTAAGGGACTTGTGTGTCAACCGAAGGCGATTGAGGGGAGATGAACGGGTCATAGTTGGGGAAAATGTGTCTGCGGTCCTGCAGAGGAAGCTCCCACCAAAGTGCGGGGACCCAGGTATGTTTACTATTCCCTGTAAGATAGGTAATACTGTGATCAGAAGGGCCATGTTGGATCTGGGAGCATCAATAAATGTCATGCCTAAATCTATCTATGCTTCTCTAAAATTAGGTCCATTAAAAGAAACTGGAATAATCATTCAATTAGCTGACCGAACTAATGTATATCCTGATGGGTTGGTTGAAGATGTGTTGGTAAAAGTTAATGATTTGGTGTTTCCAGCTGATTTTTATGTACTTGATATGGATGATGATCACTCCCCTGATCCCTCACCTCTGTTATTGGGTAGACCTTTTATGAGCACAGCACAGACGAAAATTGATGTTAGTAAGGGTATTCTGTCCATGGAGTTTGATGGGGAAATTGTGCATTTCAATATCTTTGATACTATGAAATATCCCTCAAACTCCAACTTTAGCTCAATTTTCTCTGTGAGTGCTATTGATCCTGTAGTGCAGGAAGTGTTTGAAACTGATGGCAGGGATGAGCTGGAGGTGGCTTTAACCAAGCACCTCGAGTTGGAGACAACTCCTCAGGTGGAGTGGAGTGAGCATTTAAAATGCACAATAGGGGCATTACACTCGTTGCAGACCACCACGAAAAGGTATGAAGTCTTACCTATTTTTACTCCCGAGCCTCACCAGAGGGTATTGCCATCTGTGGTGCAGGCACCTGTACTGGAGTTGAAACCTCTACCAGAGCACCTGAAATATGCATATCTAGGTGATAATGAGACACTCCCGGTGATTATCTCATCGGCACTGTCAAAAATCCAGGAGGAGAAATTGATCCGGGTCCTTAGAGAGCATAAAGAGGCGATAGGTTGGACAATTGCAGACATTAAGGGAATCAGCCCGGCCGTCTGTATGCATCGGATTAGACTAGAAGAGGATGCCAAACCTGTACGGCAGGCTCAAAGGAGGCTCAATCCCCTCATGATGGAAGTTGTAAAGAAAGAGATTTTAAAATTGTTAGATGTAGGGATCATCTTTGCAATATCTGATAGCCCTTGGGTGAGTCCGGTCCAGGTAGTCCCAAAGAAGGTAGGAGTGACGGTAGAGGCCAACCAAACGGGTGAACTTGTGCCAGTGCGTAAGCCCACTGGATGGAGGCAATGTATAGACTACCGTAGGCTAAACGCCGTCACCAAAAAGGACCATTTCCCTCTCCCTTTCATTGACCAAATGGTTGAACGTTTAGCTTGTAGGGCTTATTATTATTTTTTGGATGGATTTTCAGGATACTTTCAGATAGCAATTGCCCCGGAGGATCAAGAGAAGACAACCTTCACGTGCCCGTTCGGGACCTTTGCCTACAGACGAATGCCATTTGGGTTGTGCAATGCACCTGCGACTTTCCAAAGATGTATGGTGAGCATCTTTTCTGAGTATGTTGAGAAAATAATAGAAGTTTTCATGGATGATTTCAGTGTGTATGGTGATAGTTTTGATACGTGTCTAGATAACCTGAAATTAATCCTGATAAGGTGTATAGAGACTAATCTTGTGCTTAATTGGGAAAAATGTCATTTTATGGTTGAGTACGGGATAGTCCTGGGTCATATTGTATCGTCTAAGGGCATAGAAGTTGACAAGGCTAAAATAGACATTATTTCTGCATTACCTTACCCCGCGAGTGTGCGGGAGGTGCGCTCTTTTCTTGGACATGCAGGTTTTTATCGAAGGTTCATCAGGAATTTCTCAAAAATTGGAGCCCCGTTGTTCCAACTCCTACAAAAAGATATAGCCTTCGAGTTTGATGATAAGTGTGAGAGAGCCTTTAACAAGCTGAAGGAATTGTTGACTTCACCCCCAATCATCCAACCCCCCGATTGGAACTTGCCATTTGAGATCATGTGCGATGCCAGTGATCATGCTGTTGGGGCTGTACTGGGGCAAAGAGTAGGAAAGGCGGCTCATGTCATCTATTACGCATCTCGGGCCTTGAATGGAGCCCAGTTGAATTATTCCACCACTGAGAATGAGTTTCTTGCAGTTATTTTTGCTTTGGAAAAATTTAGGTCGTACTTGTTAGGTGCTAAAGTGATCGTATTTTCTGATCATGCAGCATTGAGGTACCTGATGACCAAGAAAGATGCAAAACCGAGGCTCATACGGTGGATACTGCTCCTACAGGAATTTGACTTGGAGATAAGGGACAAAAAAAGCTCAGAAAATCTAGTAGCGGACCATTTGAGTCGCATACTAGTTGAAGAGGATAGCGAGCCATTGAAGGATGCATTCCCTGAAGAGCATTTATTTTCCTTAAATTCTCAGTTGCCTTGGTATGCTGATTTGGTCAATTATTTGGTAACTGGTAATTTTCCTGCAGGTTGGCCGAAATCGAAGAGGGATAAATTGAAGAGCGATGCCAAGTATTTTATCTGGGATGACCCGTACCTGTGGAAGAGGTGTGCAGATCAAGTGATGCGGAGATGTGTAAGTGAAGTGGAATTTCAATCAATTTTAGCTTTTTGTCATACTTTTGCCTGTGGAGGCCATTTTGGACCCAAGAGAACGGCTCATAAGGTTTTAGAAAGTGGATTTTATTGGCCTTCATTGTTTAAGGATGCCTATGTGTTTTGCAAGTCATGTGATCGCTGTCAAAGGGTAGGTAATATAGCCCGTAGAGATCAAATGCCCCAAGTCCCGTTGATTTTTGTTGAAATTTTTGATGTCTGAGGTATAGATTTTATGGGGCCTTTTCCTACTTCATTTGGTTTTTTATATATTTTGCTGGCAGTTGATTATGTGTCTAAATGGGTGGAGGCTAAGGCCACTCGAACTAATGACTCGAAAGTAGTTACAGATTTTATCAGGTCTAATATTTTTGTGCGATTTGGAATGCCTAGAGCTATTGTCAGTGATAGGGGAACGCACTTTTGCAACAAAACCATAGCTGCGTTGTTCCGCAAGTATGGTGTACTCCACAGGGTCTCAACGTCATACCACCCTCAGACCAATGGTCAAGCGGAGGTGTCGAATCGGGAGATAAAGTCCATCTTGGAGAAAATGGTGCGCCCCGATAGAAAAGATTGGAGTCAACGGTTGGAAGATGCACTCTGGGCCTATCGGACGGCATACAAGACACCTATAGGGATGTCTCCCTATAGGTTGGTATTTGGTAAGCCGTGTCATCTTCCAGTAGAGTTCGAGCATAAAGCATTTTGGGCGGTTAAGCAATGCAATATGGATATTGAGGAGGGCGGAATCCAAAGGAAGTTACAATTACAGGAGTTGGAGGAGATACGCAATGAAGCTTATGAGAATGCGGTAATTTATAAGGAGAAAAATAAAATTTTTCATGACCAACAGATCTCAAGGAAGACATTCGAGTGTGGGCAAAAAGTTCTGCTATACCACTCCAAATTGCAGTTATTTCCAAGTAAATTACGTTCTCGTTGGATTGGCCCTTTTGTTGTGACTAATGTCTTCCATTATGGTGCAGTCGAGATCCAAAGTTTGAAAGCTGAGAAGAAATTTGTAGTGAATGGTCATCGTCTCAAGCCGTATTATGAAGGGGTTCCAACTGAACGGGTGGAGGTGATGCACTTGGAGGACCCTACTTGCTTAGTTTAAGCAAATTTTTGGACGATGTCTAGCCGAAGACATTAAAGAAAGGCGCTCATTGGGAGGCAATCCAATTATTCATTTTAATTGTTTATTGGTTTCCTGTCATTGTTTGAATCTGTTTTCCTTAAATTTGACTGATTTTAGGTGTTCGTTTTCGTTTTTGCTGGTTTGTAGGCGACCTTCAGTCATGACGTGCCCGCGTGGTGATGTGCAGGACGCTCACGATCAGGAAATTCTGAAACTTCTGGGAGCTCTCCTGCCCTCATGACGTGCCCGCGTGGTGATGTGCAGGACGCTCACGATCAGGAAATTCTGAAACTTCTGGGAGCTCTCTTGACCTCTTGACGTGCCCGCGTCACGTTCACGGGAAAGGTAAGGATTTGAAAAAATTCTTTTATTATTATTATTATTATTATGCCTTTCATTCAAAGAAGAAGAACGGATTATTGAAAAAAAAAGAAAAAAAAAGAAAAAATTTCAGAATGTCGAAATATAAATTCGGAGAAAAGAAGAAACAAGGTTTTGAATACAAAGAAAAAGAAAAAAAAATTTCTTTCTTTTCTTTCTTTTTCTTTTCTTTCTTTCTTCTTCTTTCTCTTTTCTTTCTTTCTTTCTTCCCCGCTGTTTTGCTCTGCTCGCCGCCCGTGCTCACCGCCATCTCCAACTCCACCACGCGCCGCCCTCATCCACTCCTCTTGCGCGCGCGCCCGGCCTGCCGCAGACGCTGCTCAGCCGTCGTGCGCTGCGCCCGCCGTCGCCTGCGCTCAAACCGCGCCACCCGCCGCCGCTGCCCTGCGCAAAGCCACCAGATCTGTTCCGCGGCTGGAGCCTCATCAGAGAGGCGCGGCAGCCTTACCACGCCGCTACCTCCGCAGCGGCCAGAAGCCACAGGCGCGCCGTCCGCCGCTGCTGCCCGAAGCTCGCGGCAGTCCACGGCCGCCTCTCCTGCTCGCGCCGCCGCTGCCTGCCAAAGCCACGGACGCACGCCAGCCGCAACCCATATCTCCAGTCCACGGCCGCCTCTCCTGCTCACGCCGCCGCTGCACCTCCACTTCAAACGGCCTTTCCGCGAGCTTCACCAGGCCGAGCCGACGCCACTCCGCAGCACCAGTGGAGGTATTTGAATCCTGCTCCCAAATTTCTCCAAATAAATTGGTACTATCTGGGTTCGTCAACTGTGGAAATTGTTGGCCGTGGGGGTTGTTTCTCCAGTTGGGGATAAGCCAGTGGTGCTGGGTGTGCTATTTGTCTTGATTTTGATCACGGGTCGGCCATATTCTTGGAATTATTGATTGTGTTTTTTATTGGCTTTGAGTTCAATTGTTTGGGGTTTTAAAAATTTGGTTTTGTCGGCTGTTGGAGTTCACTTCTTCACTTGTGTGGTATACCTGTTGGGCGTCATTTTCTTCTTGCTGCTATAGATTCGTTCTCTCTATTGGCTGATTAATTGGGACCTGAGAGATTGGACATTGAAAAAAAAAGGGGAGCGAACAAGGGGGCATTTCCACATGCAGTTCTTACTGGTGAACATATTTCTAATTAAATTTGTTACTGCTAGTTGGTTGGCTGTTTTATTCTTGCCAAAGTTCTCAGTTGTCGTCGTTGCATTTGCTGGTCTTGCAAGTGTGCGTTACCTGGCCACCTGGAGCCATTTGTTGCGTCTGTAGGTGCTATTATTGCAGTGTTTTATCAGGAACTTGTTCACTCTGGTTGGTTGGATAATTATTCAACTGCCGAGGACTTGTGATTGTGTTGCTTGGCGTAGTTTCTGAACTGATATTGCTGGGTTGCAATTGCTGGGCCTTTGGTTTGTTGGCATTCCTTTATTTCTTGTTGGCATTGGCGAGTTGTCATATTTGTTGGGACTTTTGTTGGTTAAGCTGATTACTCCAAATCATGGTGAGGCCGAAATCATCCTCTAGGTCTAGGGCCTCTCAGTCTCAACCCCCTCCACAAGCATCTATTCCTGTCAACTCACCTACCAACCTCCCCTCTTCTTCTAATGTGCGAACCCGTTTGGGTAGGGGTCGGGGTGCTCAGGTAGATACCCCTACTCACTTTGGGGGGCACCTAACCTTCACTAGACCCGCCGATCAGCAGAGATATGCTAAGGTCTGCGAGCGGCGTATTACACCAAGCAAGACTTGGGAAAAATTAACCGTCATGAGTCTAGGCATACGAGAGGAGGTCGAGCAGATGTTTACAGCCATCGGGTGGCGCTCATATCTCGATATCTTATGCCCCGCCTTTGTCGAGCTGACTCGGGAGTTTTACTCCACCTTTGAGTTCGAGTTACCTACGAGATACACCGTTGACACACCACAGGTCATTCATTTCCGGCTCATGGGTCGAGAGTTCAATTTCTCCATTACCCAATTCAATCGGGCATTTGGGTTTATCACTAGAGAGTATGCTGGGTTTAGGGCGTATGCAGAGAGTGCCTGTGACTACATAGAGCCGTTCCTCTCCCACTACCATGATGTATGGGAGGACATGTCCGTCGATCAGCAGCGCTACGATCCTTCCCGGTCTAGGAGCTCCTTTCTTAAGGACCCTAGTGCCCGCTATGTTCAGCGGTTCTTAGCCTATAGCTACTCGGGGCGCAAGGACAGCTCTGGCATACTCTCTCGTCCTGAGTTCTTCTTCCTCTGGTGTATGAAGAACAATATCAAGGTTAACTTGGGGTGTTGGTTGGCCGCACAGTTCAAGACCGTCTTGGCCAAAAAGAACAAGCCCCTTATCCTTGGGTCCTATATCACTCACTTGGCGATCCAGTTGGGGGTTCTTGACCTGGAGGACCACGACTTACATTTGGCATGCGAGATGGAGCTCTTGGACGTAGACTGCTTGGAGAGGATGGGAGTCATCGAGCGCCTGCCTGATGGTTCCTACCAGTTCATTCCTCCTGGACCACCTAGAGCTCCGGGTGCGCATCATTCGTCCCGGGCAGGGCCCTCCTCCTTTCCTGGATCAGCCGAGGACACAGTTGGGCCATCTTCTTCTGCGCCACCTCCACCGCATGGGACTACTGAATGGCAGCAACTCCGGGAGCAGGTTCAGACTATGCAGGCTCGGAAGGTCAACGTTGACGCCAATGTCGCCGGCATAGCACAGAATTTTAGGGTATAATTTGTTAGTAATTTTATTATTAATTTCCCCTTTCATCCCTGATAAATATTGTGTTAATTGCAGATATCTACTTATATTTGGTTTGTGGCCTTTATTTCAGGGATAGAACGGAAAACTACCAAACATGAGGGATTTCCTGGAGAAAATTGAGTCTTCAAGCGAGTCACAGGCCAGGGCCACAGTGCTGAAAAGAACTGGACTCCCATCCCTTTATTCTTGTTGACCAAGAGGATTACAACCGGAGACTTTGGCAGAGAGAACTTGAAGGCTTGGGCCTTTGACTTCGGTGGGGACCACGGAGGAAAGGAAAAGGGCTTTGGTCCTTTGGTTCTTAAAGAAAAAGCAACATACAAAGCCTAAGGAAACTAAGAAGAAATGGGGCAGCTTGTGGCCAATTGGTGGGGACCACTGGATATCTTTCCTTTGGCTTTAAATAGGGAGCTAACGTACAGAAGACGGACGGCCAGCTTTTAGTTTCCTTGCTTTAGTTCAGTTTTTAGTTTTTTTCTTCCTTTTTCCTGGGACTGGCCTCTGACACACGCCAGGTGTTTGACAATATTCCCCAACGGGGAAAACATCCTTCATTCCTTACTTTTTAGTACAAAACAATGCCTTCGCAATTTATTAACTCGTGTGGTGATTTAATTATGCGGCGTGGCTAAGTCTTCCATCTAGTCAAGGGTCAACTCGACGGCGCAGTCCCGAAAATCTGTGAGATCTAATTAGTTTTCACGTGTTCCTTTATCTATTAATATTTGCATGTTGTCTGATTTTATTTTCATGGGATTATTTTATTAATTGGATGTCCAGGGCCCGATGTTCAATGTGATATATTAATCTCGTGCCAATTTAGTCAATTAAATCCGTAATTGTTTGATTGATTAATATTAGTGGCAACTGGTGTGTTTACACATTAGGGGAACGTGCGATCTAATTTAAATAACCCTCGTAGCGTGTTATTGATTAGGGCTAGGTTTTTCTAGTTATTAATGCAATTGGAAAATTAATTCCTATGGTCGTACCTAGGAGTATTTGCTGATTAGGGGTAATCAACGGTCGTACCTTGGTTATCAATAATTTAAGGAAAAATTGGTCGTCGGACTATAACTAGCCTATTAATAAATTAAGTGAACCTCTGCTGCATCAATGATCAGATAAATGGACTGTGCTTGAGTAGTTGTATCTTTGGCTAGAATTTATTTATTCCTGATTAAATTCCTGCTATATTTGTGCTAGTGATTTATTCATTTTTAATTAAATTGTCTGATTATTTTTAGTTTCATTCCGGTAAAATCTCCCCTTATCAATTGGACTTTAAAAAGAGACAAATATCTCCAGTCCCTGAGGAGACGACCCTACTTGCCACTGTCTACTATTTAGTAATTTTTGTCAATTAATTAATTCTGGTATATCGGATTAAACAAACTCTTCGGGAACAGGGTGAATCAAGTAACCCATTGCACTACTAGAGTCCCTGCTCCAGTACCTAGGATTAATTATTGACTGCTCTTTGTGGTAGCTAGGTTCCCCTAACCGGAGTGGGACAATAAGAAGTTCGCTTACCTCCCCTAAACTTTTGAAAGTTTCACATGCATCCATTATCTGGCATTTTTGTACGCCATGTCAACCCAAATCAATAAAGGATAAACAATTTCAAGAGAGAGAATAGAATTTTGTACCATAATGCCCTTTTGTGTTGCAACAATTTGTTTTATGATGGATTTGAGAGATTTGATGAAAATTTGATATCCTCTCAAATTCTTCTAGGTCATTTGAATTACTTCGGAGGCCTTTTGTTTTAAAATCCACCATTTATTTTAGTGCTTGAATGCATTCAATGAGTAGTGAATTCCAAAATCATATACAACCTAAGTAATCCAAAATATTTAGAAGTGTTTGAGAAGATTTCAAATTTTTCTTCAAATCCCTCAATCCAAGCCAATAAATAAGAAATTTTTAATTGGATTAAAAGTTGGAGACCAAAAGCAAAAGACTAGATGTGACACCCTGTATTTTTTTTAACATTTATTTAGTTATATAAATTTAAGATGTTTCAAGTTTTAAATACAAATTTCATTTTTGCAAAAATGATATTACTAGTACATTGGTTTTTTTCTAATACCATAGTTACCATAACTAGAGTGTATTATCAAAGAGTTCTCTCCTAGAATTATAAAAACTAGAGTAACGCAATCATTTGCTAATTGATGAAAAGACCAAATTAAGTATAGGAATTGACAAACTTGATTTAATCAATTGCTATATATTCGGAAGAACTAATTCTTATGTTTAAAATTGGAGAAGGAAACTAGTCATTAGAATTGCAATAAGTATGACTTGTTTATTAGACTTGGTGTTTTTTTGTTTAATTTTTCTTTTAAAGATTTTCGTCATTCTTTGTAATTGATAAGTTGAAGGTTAAAAAAAATTAGTAATAAGTATGAGGGATTCCTAGAATTCAATTATTGAATTAATGTCAATCTTATCCAGAAAAGCAAGAATAAAATGCCAGCAAAGTTGAAGACTTTTTTGAAATTTATGTGCTATTGATTATGAGAAAACGGTGATGTTACAAGTTTCTTATTAAAAGCTTGGAAGCTAATACTAAGTTTCTTATTACAAGTTTTTTTTTGGGTTGGCAATAGTATAGAGCTATATTCGTGAAAAGTTTGGTTTAAAGGAGGCAATGTTGACATAATTAAACCGAACTTCCTAATAGTTGATGTTTTCTATTTCTAGTTTAGAAGTATTCAAGTATAGCCAAGTTTTGCCTAGAAATCTCAGCTTTTTTTTTCGGTACAAAGGAGGATGTAAGCCCGTTACATATTAATTAGACGAGATATTGTCACTCCACAAACATCACGGTCCAGAAGTGTTCGTAATGCTTGTGGAGGATCCTAGAAAACAGTCATCCCCGGAGCTAGACTCTTTCCTAGCTTTGCTAAGTAATCTGCACAACAGTTTCCTTCTCGCCACGAATGTTCCAAACAGCATTCCCAATCATAGCCTAACAACTCTCGGATTCCCGCTACCATGTTCCAATATGGACTCTCTTCAGATGCATTGTTAATCAATATCAATGCCACCTGCGCGTCTGACTCAATAACCACCCTCCTATACCCTTGCTCCCAAGCTAGTCTCAGTCCCAACAGAATCGCCCAGAGCTCGGCTGCTACATTACTTGAGCACCCCAAATTTGCACTAAACCACTTGAGCCAACATCCTTGATCATTCCTTATAAGACCTCCGGCACTTGATTCACCTGGGTTTCTCGTGGCTGCGCCATCTACATTGAGTTTAACCCATCCCAGTGGCGGTTTTCTCCAATTGATGAACTTCATTTGTCGTCCACCCACCAATTTGCGGCTAGCATGTAACTCCTGTTGTGACGCCCCGAAAAACAAAAATGTGTTTGAGAACCCGGAAATTTTCTAATTTTCTAGGGTTTATTTTTTTTAATCGCCCGCCTTTTCTACATTTTCTTGATTAGAAAAATTCCCCAGATAAAGTTTATGAGCAAAGATAGTTTTAAAATGATTTTTCTAGTATCGGTTAGTTTTTGAGAAATTAAGAGCGTATTTTGAACGTGGGACCCGCAAGTGCCGTAAATGCATTATA